CTGCTGCCTTTTATGTGAGAGCATCAAGGAACAGCTGGTGAGGGCAGGCGGAGGAAAGGCAGAATTGTTTGAGCCAAAGGGCACAGAGCGTAACCAAGTCTAGCTACCTTCATTCTACTCTCCAGAGGAAAAAATGCTGCTTTAGTAAATAAAACAGCCATGTGGCTTAGAGAACTGAGCATTACCCCACAATTATTGAAATCCAGCCTGTGCCAACGTTTCTGGCACAGAATCCAGAGCATTCTGTCCCACTGCTTTCAACAAGCTTTCATAAGTACTTGTCAGCACAGATCCAACTGTAGAAGGTCTTGCAACAAGTTCACCAGTTAAAAAATGAAACCTGCAACACCCAGGCTTAGATCACTGCTATCACCTTATAGCTGCACAATGGTGAGACAAGCTTCGGGTAATTCCTTCCCTGAAGAGAGACAGGCCTCAGTCTGGTTCCCAGCAGCAAAGAATATACACTGACAGCTGGATGGCAGTAGTTATTGTCTGTCATTCACTGACCGTTCACCAAATCTGACCATACCCAAACAGGCTTTGTGACTGACCACATCTGAGCAGGTGCCAGAAGTGGCCCCTCCAGGCCAAAGCTGTGGCTGGCAGCAGGTAGCCTGTGGATTGCACAGGGAACGCGTGTGCCTGGGGGATGGAACAGGCAAACATCTGCAGCACTACACACTCCTGAATTGCTGAGCCACCTTCCTGCAGAAATACTAAGTTCTTCCCCTTTGTTGGGCTGTAGCAGCCTGTAAATACACACTTGGGGGTTCAGGTGTATTGCTTATCAGTGGCATCACCGTAAGCTTGTACAGCATATAAGCTAAAACACACGTATTTTCTTTTTTCATATTAACTGCAACAGCATGAGAGTCCAGAGCTCTCCTTTCTATCTGAACTGCCACTTAACTGTTCAGGAACTGTTCAGGGAACGCACTGCCAAGTAAGAAAATGTCCAGCTTTATTTAGCTGTAGGTATGAGCATGTAAATGACACTCCTCTTTAGGCAAAGATATATTTTTCTATAAAGCATAGAAAAAATCTTGTGGCTGTCTACACACACCCACATAGACGAGGGGAGGGATGACTGGTAGATTTCTTTTGGGAACTTTAAGTGTATTCTTGCAAGTCTTTGCAGTTACCTTGTTAGTGTTGTAGCCAGATGGACGGGGAGTGACCGGGTCATGCAGGGAGCAGTAGAGGACCGTGTCTGGCATACCTGGGAACAGAGCAACAGGCACAAAGTAGACTTTCATGAACCAAAACAAAGATGATGCAAATACATGGTTTGTAAATTTGCAAATGGGAACAGGGTATCCTCCCACACACAAAAACATCCATTCTGACCAAAAAAACAACAAAAAAAACAAACTTAATTTGATCTCTCAGCACCAAAGGCGGCAGACTTTTTCCCCAGCTTTACTAGCTGCAGGGAGGAGAGCACAGCATCGGGACAAACCACCAGATAAGACCCTTCCGTTCTGCAACATACATAGCTCCTTTGAGATTATTTATGTCTCTTCTTGATTAATACTCCTGCTACTGAAATTCAGCAGGCCCAACAGCTGACTGCCTTGACCACTCAGCTGATACACCAGAGACATCTGACATAATCTAAACCAAGCAACAGCCTCAAGCCTAGAACTTTTACCAACAGACAACGCATAGTGAGAGAACAGATCAGCTACAGGAATGAGGAACTTATCATCCCTGCCAGACCGGAAGTTTCAAATGTCATACAGAAAGCTAGACAGTATGTCTCAATGACATACAATTTTCTCTTCACAGATACGCAGTGGAATTGGTGAAACTTCCAAAAAGGTTCAGATAAAAGGGATTTTCAATTTTTCTTGAAGGAATAAATTGTCCCAATGCAATCAGTTTACTGAAAGTTGGGTGCAAACTTCCTTTGGAAATCCAAGCCACAACTTTGCTTATGTAATGAAATGCATGTCCAAAATCTTGATGTGCTTTTTAAAAAAAAGAGCTTGGCCCGAGTACATAGGACAAAAACGCTAAAACATACTTTAAAATCATAATAATTTACATTACTGTAATAATATATGTGCAACTGGCACATACAAAACAACCAGAGGAAAAACTCCAGTCACAACATGTGAACTGCTGCTTTAATCATTCTTGTCACCAAGGTGTTAAGATAAAGATTTCATTCAGGAACTGCTTCAAGAATGGAGTACACGGACTGATGAAGATCACAAAGGCTTGGTGCAGCTGAGTACCACGGCAATGTTGACTGTTTTGCATTTGACTACCCATTAAGCAAAACTGAGTTTATTCCTAAAAGTGACGCTTTAACATGGAAAAATGGAAGAATACATGGAGAAAGTACAGTTTGACTGCTAAACTGGCAGGAACAGAGCAGGGGGGAAATGACCTTCTCTACCCACTTCTTTAGTTCCTCAAAGCCCCCACAAATCCAACATGGGTCCTCCCCCAACATCCTCTCAGAACAGGAACAGCTCAGAGGCAGAAGTGTCCACCAGCTGAGACTGATCTGATGTGGAGTGCTTTCCCTGTTTATTCTTCATACTGCATGAAGATTTCCTGTTGGAAATCTTTAGATGAAACAAACTATTTCACAAGAACCAAAAAGCCAGCTTGTGCAGACAAATACTCTCAGGAAATGCATCTGAACAGCTGTATGGGGAAGGCCATTATTTCTAATTCTCCTCCTCAAAAGAAGTCATAAACTGAATCCGGCAAGATTCATTTGCAGCAGTGACTGGAGGCTACAGTAAAACCTCTCTCAGTTCTAGTCTCAACTTTTGGGCTAAGCCCATCCCAGTCAGTGCTGGAGCTGCCAAGGAGAAGGCTGGGTGCAGAAAAAGAGAAATAAAGCTTATTTCTTTACGTATTTCTGTAGGTGTCTGAAGGATTTCTGGCCATACTAGTGACAACATACTATTTCAAGTCTTCCTTAGTGCCACTATGAGTGAGAAAACGCCCAAAGGTGGAAAGCCTATGCCTACATCTTTCTGCCTGCTGTACTGCCTAAAAACGCACCAGTGGGACGCACCTCTGCCATCTCTCCAGACACACAAACAAACACACACACACACCTTACCTATGAATTTTGCAGCTCCTTCTTTATACTCTTCCAGGACATCATGAATTTCTGCCCTGCATCCAGACACAGAAACACATTAAATAAGCAAACAACCGCCAAGACAGATGGGTGGTTTCACAGCTCTGGCTTCTGTTCCCACACGTGTGTGTTGTCTGAACTTTGGTTCAGGCATTGGCGGCTGCCACCCACCTATCAGGCAGCAGAGCTGGGACAGCCGGAACCAAATGCCAGAGCCGCAGAGCTCAAGAACCAGAGCTTACACACCGGGGCCCTCGCAGCTCTGCGGCGAAAGGGCAGAGCGTTTACCTGCACTGCCCGGGACGGGCGGCTTGCTTGCCAGCACGGAGCCACGCCGCGACTCTCCGGGCAGCCTGACTGACGCGCATCACCCAGCAACGGCAGGGGAGAGCTTCTAACCAGCCTTACGGGGTTGACCTTTCCTTTCGGTTGCCGCTCGCCTAGCTGGATCCGAGAGGCGGCTGCTTCTACAGCCGGGTGTTCTGCTGGGAAGGCGGCTGCCCGGTCGCTAAGAGGGGTCTGTCCACGGCGCGCTCATAACCGA